ATGGAGCCAAGCTTGTACTTCCCAAGTTGTAGCTGGAGAAACTATTTTGAATAAAATTATGGGTGGGGCCAGACTCAGATTCAGGGCACAGTTCTAGAAACAGTTTCAGAGGCAGTTCCATCAGCACAGATCCAGGAGGCAGATAGTTCCAAGAGATACCTAGTTCAGGCCCACTCTTAACAACTAAAGTGTTAGGCTTTTATTTGTTCAGGTCAGGTGATCATAATGCCATTGTTAGAGTAGCAAAAAGTCCCCTAAGAGTCACTGCCAAAAATGAAAATCTCTAGTCTATTTGTTGGAGGACCCACCTTTCTAGTTTCACTAGTCAATCACCTGGTCATAGGACCACCCATAGGAAGGTGAGTTTTCCTTAAGTAATGCTAAATAATGGGCAGAATACCAAGCACTTTTTCCTGCCTGGAATCCTACCTCCTAGTGCTGTGCTTGTGGACCCAGACACAGACATGTGGTTCTCTGTAAGTGAGCTGCTCACCATGGAGCTGGCAGGCTCAAAACCTGCATGGCTTTGTGGATTTTTTTCCTTCTCCCCTCCCCTCCATTCTCCTCCTCAAGGCAGCAGCTGAGACCTACAGCTTGGAGGCCCTAAGGACTTTTCTTTAAATTCTAATAAAATTGTCCTAAAGCTTCTGTTTGAGTCCATTCTTAAATTCTTTTATGAACAAGACTGAGAACCCTCTAGGGGATGCTATTTCTCTCCTGTATCAGCAGTAATGATACAGTTCTGGTGAACTCCAGAAGTTGGAAAATGCAAGGAATGTGTTCTCCAGAGCCTCCAAAAGAACCAAGTCTGCCAGTACTTTTGATTTCTAACCTCTAGAACAGCAAGATCGTACATTTGTATTGCTATGCACCATGAACCTTGTGGTTACTTATTAGAGCAGTGATAGGAGACTAGGCCTGCTTCTACCTGTCCCCTGCTATGTCTTCCACACTGCTCATGCTCACTGGTGCTGGTGCAGGGCAGGATATCTACTTTTGCTTTTTTTGGTTTCCACATTTGATACAAGCCTGTAACACAGTTTAGCATGGCTGTTTAGCCACTGGCATTCTTCTATATATCCTTACAGTCCTAACTTTTTTGCATGATAATTTTAAATTCTGTATTTTCAGCTTCATAGCTTGCTAAATATATACAATTGTATTATTTTTCTCATTGCTCTATCAAAATACCAGACCCAAGCAGCTTAAAAGGTTTATTTTGGCTTTATTTTGGCTTATAGTTTGAGGGCATACAAGTGGCTGGTCACCCCCACATTTAGGAAGCAGAGAGATGGATACTGATACTCAGCTCTCTTCCTCTGTTTATTCAGTCAGGACCCAGCTCATGGGATGGTGCCTCTTATATTCAGGGTGGGTCTCACCCTCATAGACACATCTAGAAGTGAGTTCCTAGGTGATTCTAGGTCCAGTTGAGTCAAGGAAGATGAACCATTACAATTCACTGTACAATCCAGAAGTCAACTTGGTCCTCATGAGAACATTAAAAGCATTCTCACTAAAGTCAGGAAAGTCAGGTATGGTGGTGCACACCTTTAAACCTAGCATAGCAGGAGGATCTCTTTGAGTTCCAGACCAGTCAGGGCTATATAATGAAACTCTGTCTCAAAAAAAGGGGGGGTGGGGTGGTGGCTGGGGGCTGGAGAGATGGCTTAGCAGCTAAGAGCACTGGCTGCTCTTGCAGAGGACAGAATTTAGTTCCCAGCACCCACATGGCTGCAACTAACAACTGTGCATAAATCTGGTTCCAGGGGATCTAATGCCCTCTTCTGACCTCCCTGGGTATTGTACGACAAGGGTGCACTTAATGTCCATGTTGACAAAACACTCATACACATAAAATTAAAGCAAAATAAATAATTTTTTCAAAAGTCAAGCTGTCTGGGCTGGAGAGATGGCTCAGTGGTTAAGAACACTTGTTGTTCTTGCAGAAGACTCAGGTTTGAATCCCAGCACCGACATGGCGGCTAACAACTGTCTGTAACTCCAGTTCCAGGGGATCTGACGGCCTCTTCTGTCCTCTGCAGGCATTGCACGACGACATGGGTGCACTTACCTACATGCAGGCAATACACTCATAGACATAAAATAAAAATAATAAAATATTTAAAAGAGTCAAGCTGTCCATTTGTACCATCTTACATTACCCTTGAGTACTACTAGGGAAAAGATTTTTTTTTTTTAAAAAAAGGGACAGGAGGAGGTGGACTTACAAGTATTTGCAGATGGTATCATTGTATATCTGAAAGCATGTGAAAATAAATGGAACAACTCTACAAATAGTAAAAGAATTTTGGGGGAGGTGGGAGACGGCTCAGTGGGTAAAGTGCTTACTGTGTAAAGATGAGGATCTGAGTTTGGATTCTTAGCACCCACATAAAAATCCAGGTGGGGTAGCATGCATCTGACCCAGGGGTGTGGATCCAGGGGCTGGGGTTTCTGGATTGCCATTCTATCTGAAACAGAAAGCTCCAGGGTCAATGAGAACTGACAGCATGGTTCAGTAGTAGAGTGCTTGCTTACTATTCACAAGGTCCTAGGTTCAAGTCCCAGTATCTAGAAAATTCTCTTGAACTAATTAGCACCAGTTAAGGCTAGTCAACACAGTAGTAGGTTTTAGATTTTAGTATTTGTTGTGTGTGTTGGGGGGTGGTTCTGGGAATAAAGCCATTGTCTTGTGCATTGTAGGCAAGGGCGAGCTACATCTAGTCTTGAACAATCATTTTAACTGTTCTCTTCAATATGTAACGATACCATAACTGTTCATATTGTTAAATGCATTTTCCATCCCCCTTCCAATTTTAAAAGAGAGAAACTATGTGAGGGGCTTCTAGAAGCACTGTGGGACCAAGGCATTGGGCCTTCTGTTCTGTCCAGCTGATGGCAGCTCTGGTCATTGCTTTGAGACCGGCTGTTAGTGTTTTGATCATAATCGTGGGGCAGATTTAGACTGCACCACACTGTCTACAGGCTGGCTGCACGTGGGAAATTTGTCCACTGTGTGTGGTGAAGGCCTGGCCAACTGGGGTGCCCATTCCTTTCCCTAGAAGTTGCTGTGGCTCATCTTAACTGGACTGTCCTCCAGTATTGACAGACTTTTCTATTTTTCAGGAAAAACTGAGTCTTATGTAAAACCTCCTAATCTTAAAGTGGGAGCTCAAATTCAAAGAAAAAAAAAAAATCTTACCAATTGAACCAAACACAACACTGGTTTCTGGTACTACTTTGTTATTTCTGCTGAACATAGACCCTGCAGGGGGAGCTCTTATGAACCGAGGGCTGTGGGAACCAGAGCATCCACAGAAGAGGAAGGATGGCATTTAGTGTGGAGGTAGAACAGCAGTGCGAAGTACAGTTCTCATGTGTAGTCCCTTGGTAACAATTATTGTAAATCAAATTCAATTCTTCAGATCCTGTAAAATTCCACTTGGACTAGTTTAATCTACAGCCCCTTCCTTAATTTGTAGTTAACCAGGCCAAGATTACATGATTTAAATGCATTAAGGATAGTTCTGTTTATAACTATAATTTTGAAGGGTTTTAAAATTTGCTTATTTTATGTGCACGGATGTAAGTGTACACATGTTCTATGATGCCCTCGGAGGCCAGAGGGCTTCAGACCCCCTGCAACTGGAGTTATGGATGACTGTTAGCTGCCATGTGGGTGCTGGGAACCCAACCTGGGTCTTCCTCCTCTTAACTGCTGAGCATCTCTCCAGCCCCAATTTTGAAGTTTTAAAAGTCTACTTAATTGGCTTAATAAAGACTTGTGTATTACCTTATCAGGTCACATTTGTCCAAGATGCTCTGGGTCTTACTCAAATCTCTTTATAAGAAGATGAAAAAAGTCTGCATTCCTTTACTTTTAAATCTCTAGTGGTTAATAGTAAAAAATTATTTTGAAAAGAAGTAGGGCTTTGGAGTTTGAAGAGCTACATATATTCATTTACTGGTGGCCAGGCAGCCCGTGGGGCCTAGAACAGCAGTGGGTATCCCATTCCCAAGCCTTCCTTCTCTGCTGATGATTTCACTTTTTTTTTTTTTCAGTGACACAGATCTACTTTATTGAGGAAATAGCAAGCTTATATAGGGGATGATTTCACTTTTAATCCTGGACTAAACAGTTAAGATGGAGTATGAGAAGCTCCAGAGAAGGAAAGCAACAGTTCCTATGGAAACTGAAACAGGCTTCCAATGTGCTTGGTTGGGAAGGAAAGGTCTATAAGTCTTCCTGAAAGAAGTGACATCTTCAGTGAAAGCAGAGATTAGACCAGTTAGAGGTGAGTGTCAGGATGAGGGAAGAGGCTCAGAAGAGGCTGTTGGATCCCCTGGGACTGGAGTTATGGACAGTTGTTAGCTGCCATGTGGGTGCTGGTATTTGAACCTGGGTCTTCTGCAAGAACATTCAGTGTTCTTAACCTCTGAGCCAGTCTCTCCAGGCCCCTTGATTGTAATTTCATGGACAGCAATCCTCACTCCTTGCTTGCTACTATTCTATTTTACCTCATTTGCATATTCCTTAGTGCCTGGCACAAATCTTATTGAGTTTCTGAGAGCTAGTCAGGTCACCTTGTGTTCTAAGTGCTTCCCTGACCACCCTACACAATAGCCCCATCATCCAAAAGATAAAATTCAACTTCTATATGGCACTTGGCTTCTGTGAATCTACTCCCATCTCTTCACCTCACTCCTCTTAGAATTAATTTCTTCCTTTGGAGTTCCCTCCCTTACTGATCCCTTCTTCAAGCATCAATTTAATTATGCACAGGGTTAGTCTGTTGTTTCTTTGCTGTCCTTATTTCGAAATTTTGCACCATATAAAGACAGTGCATGTTTCTCTGTCTCTGTAACTCACAACACGGTATAATCTTTATATAAAAAGCAGGATTCAAAAGTATTTTAATTATTTTTATTTTTGAGACAGGATCTCCCTGCAGCTCCAGCTGGCCTAGAACTGGCTATGTAGACCAGGCTGACCTCCATCTTAGAGATCCACCTGCCTCTACTTCAGGGTGCTGGGGTTAAAGGCCTGTACCACCATGCCCACCTTCAAAAGTATTTGAAAAAATTTTGAATTAGGGACAGCTCATGAATCCACCCTCCAGCTCTCACATCATAGCCTATTTAACCCTTACTGCATCCTCAGAACACAATTCTAACTCCTTACCACACTAGTCACCTCAGCGACCACTGTGAACTTGTTCCCTCCACCTTTCCAAGCACATTCCTCCCTCTACCTGCACTAGTAAAACTTGGCCACTTATGGTGACCTGCACAGCAGGCCGTACCGACTCATGCCACAAAGGTTTTACAACTACTCCGTCAGCTTAGGAAACCCTTTCCTTCCTTATACCGCTTGGTTCTAGTATGGCTTCCTCAAGCAAGCTTTCCTTTGAATTTAGAGCCTGGTTAAGAACTCTTAAAATTAAACAGTACTAAAGTGTAAAACACAATTTTAAGAATGACATGCCTGTGGTGGCACCTCTAATCCCAGCACTTAGGAGGCAGAAGCACGTGATTCTCTGAGTTCTAGGCCAGCCGGGGCTATAGCGAGATCTGTCTCCAAACAATAAAAAGACAAGTACATAAAAGCAAAACACAAACTAAAGAAAAAGCAAGGGCATGGTGGCTCAAGACTGCAGTGGGCTACATGAGATCGTATTTCCGAAAAAACCAGACACCGACAGCGAGATGGCTGAGAGGGTAAAGGCGATTGCTGCGTAAACCTGACGTAAGCTCGATCACTGGATCCCACTGTGAAAGGCAAGAATCGACTTCTGCAAGTTGTCCTCCGACTTCCTCACCGGTGCCATAGCAATACATTTTAAAATGTACAATTTCTGCGTGTGCTCGATCTAGAACACCGTCTGTATTTGCGATGTCTCTCTCCTTCACTGTATCACGTGCAGACTTCCTACACAGTTTCTATGGAATCGCCCTCAGGTTGGGCCAATGTTCTCTTTCTCAGCTCTGCAGACACACTCACGTATCTGAATGCTCACCAACTTAACGTAAGCACAGTGAAAATTCGCTTTCCCTACGGGGTCTGAGCTCCCGAGGGGGCGTGACGCACACAAGAGTCTTCTGTGGGTCAGAACCCATTTTCCGAGCAGTTCTTCCCGGGGCCAAGTGTAGGTCTAGAAGAGCTGCTCCTTTGCCCGCGGGGGAAGCACAAGCTGCTTCCATGTACCAGGGGTTAGCGCTGGGGAAAAAAAGACGGAATTTCCAGTTCGCTTTGAAAGTCGGGTCAAGGAGATTGTCTAAAGTCCCCCACGCAAAACGTGACCGGGAACTGCGACTCCCCGGAAGACGAAGGGAGTGGGCGGGGCCGAGGAAATGACTGACAGCGGAAGTAACCAGGCGGCGCAGTCTGAGTTCTCTATGTCGGCATTTGACTAGACAGCCTGGCTGGCCCAAGGCCGCTCGGCGGACATCGGCCCTCTCGGTGCTCGACTCACCCGCGCTGCTGTCGCTGCTGAAGGAGGAGCAAAGCTCAAGATGGCGGACAAAACGCCAGGCGGATCTCAGAAGGCCAGTTCAAAGGTAACTTCTTCGAGACCTCCGTCAGTCCGTGGACCTGTCGTTGTGGTTTGGGGCCTACCGACGTCTCTGGCCTTCGGGAGCTGGCTGGGGTTGGGGGTCCGAGGCCCGTTCGCCACAGCAGGCCTGGCGCCGCGGCTCCGATGTGCGCAGGTTGCGAGGCCCATAGCGTTCCTCGGTCCCGGCCCGCATTCGGGCCGACCCCGGCGTGCCTGGGGGTGGTGGCGACCGTGGGTCGCTCCTCGCGTGGTCTGGGGTCTAGCCAGTGTCCCAGATCGAGGTCCCGCGCCCTTGTGTCGCAACTCGCTGCGCTGGCAGGCCGCGGGCCAGCGTCCGGGAGAGGCGGGAAGATTCCCGGGGCTCGAATGTCTGTTTCTTTCCCGGGTTCTTTAGTCTGGCTCTCACCGGCTCCCGGCCTGCCTCCATTTCCTTCACATCCTCCAGAATATTAGCCTGGACCGTCGCAAGTTTGTGGGGGGGGGGGGGGGGGGGGGCGGGGGGGGGGGGGCAAAAAAAAGGTAGTGGCGCCGCGGGAGAGAGCAGCTCTCAGCCACACTCCACACGTGGCTTTTTCCTCGCTTTACAGGAAGTGAAAACCACTTTGTAGGGTCGCAGACTCGGCGTCCCCATCAACATATGGGATGGTCCGCTGGAAAGGAAAACTTGGTAGCCCTGGAAACTGCCTAGAGCGTAGTACCCCGCATTCTTGTTCCAGGCACTCCAGTGCAGTTAGGAAACCACTGAACTGTGGAAATAGCGTAGCGTTAGTAAGGTGGTGTTAGTCTGGTCTTAGTTGCCATCTTGTGCGGGACTTGAAGTCGTTTTTGTGTTTTTTGTTTTGCTTTGAGTTTCTCATCCCCAACTCCATATTAAAGGTAGTAAGTACTGCCATAAACCGGTTGTGAGGCATTAGATGCTGATAAAGAAGTTAGGTAGCACTTAAATAGTCTAGGGACTTAACAGTGTATGAGTAAAAGTTTTTAGGAAATTACGGGAGAGCCTTGCATTTGCTGTTTAGGTTGAGAAAAACTCATTTTATACTTACTTTCTGTTTCTAATAAAGCTGAGTTTTTATGCCATTTTCTGAATGATGCTCACCAACTATTTAGTAAATAGTAACGGCCTTACCAGACATCCTTTACTTCAGTGAAACTGATAGGGAGCCAGTTTGGGGTGCCTTTAATTACATCAAATGTTTACTGCAAACTACTCTCCAGAAGGTTTCCCTCCTCTTCCTTGGGGAGAAAGTAAATGTGTACCTCATTCTATCACTCTTTGTATCAGATTCTATCACTCTTTGTATCAGATTCACGGCAAAAACAGTTCCCCACTGTGTCAGGGAGCTATTCATAAAGCTAGCTAAGTACATAATTATTCGGTTTCTGTTTCTTGAAGTATTAAGTATCCTCTGCTTGAGGCCTGGATACATTGAAAACATTTCACAGTATATGTTCAGACGTCCTTCTAAGAGAATACTGCTCATAGCTGTGAATATGTGGTGGTCCTTTGTTAATTATTGGATTTTTCCAGTAACAGAGCTTAACAATTTGTATTTCTTTAGATTATCATCTGTGGGTGCTATTAATAGGTTTCCTTCAGATGTCTGTAAAATGAATCAGTATTTAAACTCAGTGTTGATACGATTTATCCGTTAGTATGAAAGTACCGTAATATAGTGGAAAGGTTATAGGTTTTGATAACAAGACATTCAGATTCAAATCATGGCTTTGTAATTAATTATACTTGTGATATTATTAAGGCAGATTGCTTAAAGTTTTTGGTGGGGGGGCGCTTTTTGAGAGATTGCTTAAACTCAGCCTCAATTTTCTCAGTTTAGTACAGATAAAACATTTTTCATAGTTAATAGAATGATTGAGTCATCTATAAATGCATATTGTCTTAGTCCTTTTCCCTCTCCTTTTTATCGTTCCAACTTCTGTTTTGTTGAGACAGGGTCTCATGTAACCTCCGTTGGTCTTGAATTTGGACGGTAGCAGAGGCTGGTCTTAAACTCCTGATCCTCCTTGCCTCCACCTCCCAAGGGGCTGGGATTATAGGGTTGTGTTAACCACTTTCAGCTCTGTTTTCTTTTTAGGAGAAATAAAAACCACCTGGTTTTCAAAGTGTCAGGATGCATATCAATCCTGAGATTTGGAATTTAAGGCATCAGCTATCTTAATGACTGCCCTAAGTGCTGCTTTTCATTTCTAATACCAGTCCAGAACATATTAGAACGTTTTTTTCAGATCATTTGGCTAGTACTGTAGTATTTGGAATTTCTAGCCTTTGATATGACCTGATTTCTCTCTGGAAATAAGAGGTAAATGGCTTATATTCTACAATATGTACAGAGTAAATGGCTTATATTC